TCTTATTTAGACAGACCTGCAGGACAGAATAGTCTTGCTATGAAATTCCTCCTCTCTCTTATGTCCTGAGTGGCTAAGGAAAACAGACCCACACAGCATCAGTGATGCCACAGGAGGAAGGACACACCACAGAGAGCTAACACCGGGTGGCTCAGTAGACAGCGTGTGACCACACTTTGGAAGAAGACCGGACTCGCAGCATTTAACCTTGTGATGTGTCCGACGGAGCATCGGGGTTTACTCTGATCAAGCGCTTTCTCCCTTCTTGGAGAGTACACAAGTGACCAGTGTCTGGCCCAAGTGAAAGGCAGCACCCGGGACAAGCCATGCCACTGCCACCACCACAGCCAATCCGCAGCTGTTAGCAGTGGCTACCACTTTCAAACTGCCTGGAGCGTCCTGAACATCGTGTTTCCGGAGCTCGAGGGACACCACTTCCGTTCTTCTCAGGGTTCAGAGGTGGTGGTGCTTAGTCTCATCTTCCCACGTCGACACCGAGAAACCTCGCTCGCGGCAGCAGGCCCAGCACACTCGCCAGCGCCACCCCTCGTTCTCTATGCCACCCTGGGAAGGGGGACCCTGGAGGGGAGACAAGGCCAGCCCAGGCACACTTACCCCGGTGTGATCTCCGACTGGTGGCGCACGGCGCTGTACCGGATGGCGATGGTGCATGCCTTAGACAGAGCACGTGCGGCCTCGCCCACAAGGAAGGACCTAACGAACACCATGGTCCCGTAGGTCAGCTTGTTACTCACGGGCTTCACGTAGGTGCCGTCCGGCTTCACCTGTAACAACATGGGGTGGGTGCTTCCTCTGCCAAGGCCAAGGGAGACGCGGGTTCGCAAGGGTGTCCCTCAGGATAGTGGCAGCAGCACTGGGGAACCCCCGTGGGACCACAAAATTGGGTTCCCACTCTGACCTGTTTCAGACACCCTAGGGGCTATGTTTAGTGGCCCTCCGGGTGACTGATTCTAAGCAGCCCAAGTTTGAGAACCACGGGTAACCAAGCCCCACTCTGCTCTTCCCATCTGCCAACCACTTCTGGCCTCACTGCTGCAGGAAGAGAACCACCTCCGAGACCAGGCCTTCTAGGCCAGGAGTGGTTTACCACCAGTCCCTGAAATCCCCGTGTTTGCCACCTGGGCTCCCAGCTGCTGTAGCTCTACCTGGGCATACTTCATCAGCATGTTCTCTCTGGGGATCCGGTAGTTGTCCATCTTCAGGTAGCCATTGTCCATCTCATCATAGCCAAATTTGGGGCCAATGTCTCCAACAGTGATACCTAGATACAGAAGAAAGTCACAGGTCTTTCGGCTCTGGAATGCCCAGCTCCTGACCCTGACTCGGCACTCCGGCAGCCCCACCGCTTCCACTGTGCAGTACACTTGGTGCGGAGGGGCGCGATCAGCCAGCATTTCCTCAGCTTCGGCTGAGTCGTACCTGGCAGAGGCTTGTGGGTCCCCATCTCACGGAGGGGGACAATGAAGGCATGCAGCCCATAGCATTTCCCCTTCGTGAAGAGCTGGGCCAGAACGATGGCATGATTTGAAGTCTTCCCAACTGAAACATCAAAGAGGACAAGGGAGAGCCGTGAGCAGAGGGAAGTCTGAAGGGATACCCTGGCCATCAGTACCAGGTGAAGCACCTGCTCCCCCAAGAGTCCCCTCTCAGAACCCACAGGGGCAGCTCCACCCTGGCCTCCTTGCTATGAGGGAGAATTGACTCCGCGGCAGTGAGTCTGGTTTATTTTGGTTTTGGACATCAGTGAAGAGTCCCCGGAGAGCCTGTCCGATGCCAGCTTTCAGAAAGCCATGTTCTGACCACCTAGCTTTCAGAAACTTCCCCGACACCCACAGGGATTCAAATGACTGGCAAAGCAAGCAGACAGCCTGACTTCCTCTTTGACAGGTCTTGCCCATTTACACACAGAAATGTTAGGAGGACGATGAGAGTGCTCATTTACATAGCATCTTCTTTCTTCCATAAGGCAGCATTGTCCCAATAGCAGCTGTAGCCACAGGCAGCTATGGCAATTTAAATGATCCATAATGAAATCAAAGACTCCGTGGCTACCACATCAAACAGCAGAATCGGAAGATTTCCACCACTGCAGAAAGGTCTGTGAGACGGGGCGAGATTACGAAGGGTTTGTGGGTGACGAGTTGGGCTGTTAACTACTGGGTTAGCAGTTCAAACCCACCAGCTACTCCACAGGAGGAAGGCAGCTTTCTGGTCCCATAAAGACTGACATCCTGGGAAACGCACAGGGCAGCTCCACCCTGTCCTTGTTAGGAGTGAGAGCCGCTGACTCAATGGCAGTGAACTTGGTTCTTTTGGTTTGCCTTTTTGAAATCCAGAAATAGTTTTTTTTTTGGCGTCCTGGTTTTCATTTTGACTTAAAAAAATTTTATGTCACATCTTAAAACACTAAATGTAAGCAGCAAAAATCTTTCAGGCACTGGCTTTATCTGAAATAAATGTTTGTGGCAGTTACATAATCTTCTGTTGACAGGACATTATGTAACTGCCACAATATTCCAAGACAGTAAGAGTGGAAGAAGATATTTAAATACGAGCTTAAGTAAAACAGCAATGCTATAAAATGACAGACGCCTTGACTAAAGAAAAGTACCAAAATGGGGAGCTACTATTTTCCGACACGGCCTATCCCCCCTCGGGGCAGTGGTTCCAGCCCTCTTCCCTGAAGAATTCTGCCCTCGTCTACGAACACCACATCAAAAACAGCTTTAACATCCTTGGCAGACTCAAATCTTGTTCCTTTTTATTTATTATTATTATTGTTTCTTTTCAAATGCTTGAGTCTGGGGAATGAAGGGGCAAGATGGGGCTGCAGGTGTACGGGTCAGGCTTCCTAACGACAGCCTCACAGGCAGCCCTGGCTGTCAGGAATGAGCAGGTGCATTGTCCTAACAGGAATATCCCTTGGGGCAGCTTTCCGTGTCTTCTCCTCCCCAGTGCCGTTCTCAATTTTCTTAAAACGCCTTCACTTTAAGGGCTCATGATCGTCCTCTGTCCTTCAGGACAAGCCACCAAGATTCCCGCTGCTCAGACTTCCAAAAGACAGACTTCACTGTGACAGTCGGAGCAGACCTCTGTGCTTGGAGTGGAGCTGGCCTGGAGGATTCCCTTGACGGAAATGGAGCACTGAGGAGTGTGTAGACGTGTGTGAGCAAGCAGATGACAATGGTGAGGCAGTGTTCTGTTACGCTGTCAGAACCAACTCACTGGCATCATAGAAACATACCAGAATGTTGAGATGAAAAACTTAGTGACTCCAAAGGCCAGAGTCGAGCCGCACGCTGGGGTTTCTGAGACCCATAGGGACCCTATGGGACAGAGTCCACTGCTCCACTTCCTAACGGCCACTAAATGTTGGGAAATTCACTTACGTCCACCAGGCCACCACTTAATGGAGGTCACAGTTGGGCTGTTGAGAATGAATTCCTGGGTTTCGGGATCGTACGTGGCTGTGGTTTCCAAGCCTCGAAGATGAGTCCCTAAGGAGATACGTTTCATGATTTTAGGTCAAGTACAAGGGGGAGCTGGTGCAAGGAGGTATTTCTTACTCAATCCTTTATGCTCAGGGACCTCAAAGGAAATATTCTAATGACAGTGAGGAGGCATGTGCGGAGACTAGGAAAGGTGGAGAACCAAGACAGGTAGGTGACTCCCTGCACTGACATCAGATAGCTGCCCAGTAAGTGCAAAAGGTCAAGGCTAAGCACACTGTTTCTGGACTTGCCTCAGGGCACTTTTGAGCAACAGACTGGTGACACTTAAAATCTGAAGGCAGCTTATAACCAGACTGTTCTATGAAAGTAGCACAGGAGCCCAACAGGAAGTTAACTGCCCTTTGAATGCCTTCTGTACATTGCAAATAGGCCACGTTTAAGTCATAAGAACTGTGTTTAAACACCGATTTCCCTTCAGGGGAGGGAGAGAGGGAGAGACTCCAATTGCTTCCAGGGTCATTGGAAATAGAAGCTTAAAAAGGTCTGACCACTTTGAGGCAAAGCACCTGCTACAGTAGCGTCGTTGCATCCCTAAGAGCCCAGCGTAGGTATATGCTCCCTGCTCCACAGTCCTCAGCTTTGTCCCAGAGGGCTCACCCAGGTGACCAGCAAGTCTCCCCCCAAATGCTGATGGGGGGATGGGACAGGGGCTTGTGCTGTAGATCCAAAAAATGAGTGGACAAAACCCTTGGAGAAGAGTTCTACAGGAACCTCCTAGGTGGCACTTCTACCCTCATGAGCTGAAGCACATAACTGAGAACGTTTACCCAGCTGCAGCTGACATGCCGGTCCTCACTACACGCTCCGACCCCGACCCACTGGGAAATGCCCACGCTGCAGCACAGATGCAAGCAGTTAGTTCTGTGAAGCCACAACTCTCAAGCGGGAACCCAAGAACCAGACACTTCCACCGAAACACAGGCGGGAGAGCATGACGCGAAATAGAGCAGATCCTGCGCTGCCACCAGACGCCAGGGCAGGAGACAAGGGTTGCCCACCGAGTATGGAGAACTCTCCAAAGCATACCGAAGGCCTGGAGGCCCACTAGCCGCCGAGAGGGAGACGCGGTTGTGCACAAACAAGGAAGCCCAGGCACATGAGGTGGTTTTTTGAGGCCTCAGGGCAGAAAGTGAAGCCAGGCGCAGAGGGGCAGGCGCAGGTCCTAGTTCAGGGCAGAGACCACCTCCCAAGTCCTCAGGAAGAAATGGGCTTAGAAAAAGCAGGCTTAGAATCAGAAGTCCAGCCCCACACCTGCACAAATGACTGCAGGGTCCAAAGTAGTTCCGCACACCCTGCCTCCCTTAAGCTGGCCAGAGCAGGTGCACACACAGCCCAGGTGCACTGCCTCCAGAACGTGCACGGCTCAGAGCGGCAGCAGCGAGGAGGTAAGTGGGTAGAAATGAAGAAACAGAAAGGAAGGGTTCGGACTCTGTTTTCTCACCAATTCTACACAACTGTCAAGACCACAACCAAGCCGGCTGCCATGGACTTGATCCTGACTCCTGGGGACCCTGGAGGGCGGAGCAGAACTGCCCCGTGGGGGTGCCTACGTCATCTTTACAGAAGCCGACTGCCACACCTGCTCTCGTGGAGGGGTTGGTGGTTTGAACCAGGTGAGCAGCCAAGCAGTGAACTACTGCACCTGCAGGGCTCCGCATGCCAAGTTCTTTTTGCTTGAACAGAAGCACTTGGAGCCTAAGGGCCGACTTGCAACCCCTGGTCTACACAGGGGCCAGCGGGGAGGAGTCTGTGATCACCCAGCCTTTCATGTCTACTGCTCGGGCTAACAGCTGTGCCAAGACTTGTGACCCATGGGGGCTCTGTGGGAGGGATCCAGGAAAAGGATGGGGTCTCTGAGATCCCTGCCCAGGCACCAGGGTCCATGCTAAGCTCACAGGGCCCCCGCCCAGCCCAGAAGGTAGACGGAACACACCATACCATGACCCATCTCTGTCTGGGCATAAGTGCCAATGATCTCCAAGTTCCAGGCAGGCATGAAGAAGCGCTCCTGCTGCTCTGCGGTTGCCTGGTGAAGCAAGGTGGGCAGGAACATGCCCAAGTGAAGATCCAGAGGCTCAGGCCGCCCACGGTGAACAAAACTTCCCAGGAACACCCAGGGTGACCATGTGAGAGAAGTCATCAGGTGTGAGAGAACCAGCATTGAGAACAGATACAGTGAGGGAAGGAGACAAAACAAAACCTCTGTGAGTACGAATTAGTGGTGCCGCGTGCAGCAGGGCTGGGAGCACTGCCCTTTCTGTATCACGGTCTACAGCTTGCCTTCTCCCTGGTTCTTAACGCCCACCAAGAGCATTTTCTGAGGGTTGGTACCAGTCTCTAAAATCGCTTTGGCGGGAACGGCTGCTGCTCCCCAGGCCTGAGTCGTTTGGCTGCGGAATTTCAGTTAGACAGTGACGGATGCCTGAGTGGAAGGACGTGTGAGTTCTAGGCCAAAATCTTTTCTGTTTTTTGTCCCCCAAAGGTGTAGCACAGCGCCCCGTGCAGGTCAAATACCACCCAGCCACAGTGTGATACAAAAATCGACAGTGCTCGTCACCCTAACTGAAATCTTTAAAAAGAGTTCTATCAAAGGTTATCATAATCACAACTTATAATCACAAGATGCATGCATAACAAGCTTCTCATCACCAATAAGGAATCTCTTGGTTTTGAGCCATTTTAAATACCCTTTCTGAAGAGGTCATCCTTTGCCATGGAAAGATATTGAGGTCTTGGAAATCCTTATCTCTGGAGCTTTCCCAAATTATGGACACTGTTTCAGTTCTAAATTAATCCACTTCTTATGTTCTTCTGATTCTTTTTAATCCCTTGGAAATAAGCCTGACCATCATGTCTGTTTTAAGATTTCTCAGCTGGCTCCATGTAAGGGCAGGTCAGGAGGTGCCCCGCTCAGGTCTAGACCGAGCAACTCCAGGTAGTCTCTGACTCACAGCACGGTCCCAACTGAAGATGCCGGATAAGCAGGTTCTGACAGAAGTTGAATCCACTTGTTTTGTTTTCATTATTATTGCCTTTTGTCACAAGTATCTTTATAAATTCAGTCTTTGATCATCTATGAATGAACATCTGAGAATGGTAACACAGCAAGTTACGTGCTACAGTATTGTTTCCAGGACCTATGAATGAGGAGGCAAACTGCACACACGCAAACAATCCACAGAGGATTGTTAGCTGGGCTTATCCTAACTCGAAGATGTTGTGAGTCAGGGAATATCGGTGTTTCCGCCAACCAGGTGGTGTGTGTAAGCTGGCCAATCACAGACACTTAGTATGCTTGCCTCACTAAGGTAAGGTGGGGAAAGGTCCCTTGTTCGGGTTAACCAACAAAACAAAGCGGAGCCCCTCTTTTCCGACACACCATGGGCTCCCGCTGAAGGTGGGCAACAACCGTGCAGCGACATCATCACTGTCGGTTGCTGCTGTTGTGACCCAGAGGGGCCGCAACCCACAGGCGGAGAACCTGCTCTGGAGAGCAATGGCTCCTGGGACTCAGATGAGCCCTGTTGAGAAGTGGCTGGGATTTAGGAAGGTCACATGGAAAAGGTGACCTGGTTGGCCAGTGTTTGTTTTACTCCCTTGCTTTCCACTTAAATCAAATGTCTGGTGTTAAAAGTTGGTTATGCATGATAAAGGCCATCTTTTATTCTAAAAGGATTGTGAAGATCACAAAGCACCAGGATTACACATGGTAAGACGCTAGGCAGTTCTTTTAAAATCGGAACACCAAAGGGTACAGCCGTCCCTCCTTCCACACGACATGGGTTTGGCATGGCTGGCGGCCATTACTGAGGAGAAAACTGATTAGGTGAATAAATGTCAGGGAGGAAGAAATAACAGTAGCACCTCGGCGGACAGTGTTGACTGTCCTAAGAAATCCACGGCAAGAACACAAAATCAACAATCGTAAATGGATATAGAAAAGCTGAGGTTGTGAGGGAGAAAAAAACAGCACTCTTATCCGCTAAGTTCAACCAGGTGGAAACCCCGAGGAAAGCGAGAAATTTTTTTTACGTGACGCAATAGTCAAAATTTGTGAAGTTATTTAGTTCAAGATGTTTTGAGTTCTATTTAAGCAAAATGTGTTAAAAGTAAAATAAATAAAAAGAAATTAAAACAAAAATGTGTAAGTATGTATTACAATGGGTTAAGAAAAAATAATAACTGGGAAGGAATACCCAATTCCTGAGTGAGGGCACTAAAATATTGTACAGATAGCAATTTCCAAGCATATATACGGGTTTTCTAGAACACCAATGGGAAATTCCTGCAGTCATTTTTCAAACTTGACAAATCGAGACGAGAACTTATCATCATTTGCTCTGCTGGTTTTACTCCCCGTCGAGGGGGGTTGAGGGGGGGGAGAAAGAGACTCGGAGTCCCCCAAATCCCAGCAACTAGAAACGTGTACCACAGCCCATGATCCAAGACACAGAGTAGCATCGTTCCTCCAGCAACTCCCGGGTGGGGGCGGCCTTGTCGCCGTGGGACACTGGTTTGGGAGAGTAAGAAGGCACGAAAAACCCAAACCACACTCAGTGCCACCAAGCTGATCGCGACTGCCCCCACAGGGCAGGTGGGATTGGCCCCTTGCGGCGGCTTCAGACAGTAACGCTTCAGGGAGTCGAAAGCCCAGTCTCTCTCCCCAGGCAAGCGTTGTAAAGGTACATACACATTTCAAACACAGGCCTCGTCTATCAGGTTCTACCATTTCCTACAAAGCCACAAAGTGTATAGTGTTGAGAAAAAAATGGAGTCAATGACACGACACACATTTCAGTTTCTAGAAACACATTCAAGCCAGTAGAAAAACACTTGGGACAATGGAGCAAGAGCCACGCGCAATCAGCACGGCCGTCGTCGTCCTCATCCCATAGGACGCACGAGTCGAAGCATTCAACAACAAGCAGACGGAGACCACGCAGAAGAAATCGGAAGAAAACACACATCCACTTCAGAGACCAGAGCGAGGCCTTGAATCCCTAAGGCCAAAGTTGTAACAAAACACGAAGCAACCAGGAAGTGTAGGCCAATATATAGACTGTATTTAACCAGCACTTGAAGGAGGGGAGCCCACATGATACCCAGGAGTGAAACACTGGCAAGTGCAAACAGAACGGACCCTTCACACAGAGAAGTATGCATGGAGACGGGGCACATGAAGGACGTGGCAAATGTCATTTACTGTATTAGAAGCTGGTTCTGTGTCAAAGCATGCAGCAAAAGCCACAGACTGAGCAATTCATTTCTGCAGATGCACTGGGGGTCACCCCAAGGTGGAATCGCTCAGAAGAACCTACTTCGTTAACAGAGGGGAAATCAGACCAGCTCCTCCGCCCAAGGAAAGGGAGCAACCTGGAAGGTGAGCACTGGGCGAGAGGGCGGAGGAGCGCACCAACTCCAGGTCAAAGTGAAGGTGCTGGGAAGATGATCCGCCTGGACCCAAGGCCACCGGCTCACTTTCCACACGGGCCCATTCACAAAGATAGGGTTTCTTCTTCTACAGTAACCGTGTGTGCAGGAGCCGCGTGTTCTTAATAATCTGAAATCATGATTTTTGAAAAGTCAAGAAGTGTGGCCTGGTCTCAAAATGGTCGTGCCTGTGAGGATTGGAGAGATGGCCTGTCTCGGGGCCTCAGCGATGTGTGACAGTGACAATAAACACTCAGAGACTGGGCACCCTCTCAGGGCACGTTTGGGACGTGTGGTCCTTTCATGTGCTGGCACAGGGGGACGTGCACTCAAAGGAAGGGAGAGAGAAGACGGGGTGACCAAGTTTCCTGCTGGTGAAGGGATTTTAAAGTCTTCAGGAACCTGGAAGGCGTGGGGCGGCGGTGAGGCCCTGGCGCTTCCCCACCACTAGTCAGAGCAGAAAGGGGCCCTGATTGGAAAGGGCAGCCTCACTGCTGGCCAATCACGGCAGAATCGCACATTTCCCAGTCTCAGACCCGGAACAACCAGGTCTTCATTCTAGAGAAGCTGCTCACCACCAACCCCCTTATTGGCGGGCACTGTGGATTCGGTGTAAAGCTAGTCACGGGATGCAGATGGACAAAGTGACAAAGTGAACCGGACCGGTCAAGCACTGGCCGACGAGCTTGAACAGCAGCTGGTGGGGAAGAAGACAACACTCGCGGCCTTGGCCTCCAGTAAAGGAGGAAAGGGCCGACGTGCAAACCCGCCCAGCACAGCACAAGCTCTTCACCCACCCTCGGCTCGGGTCGGCCAGGAGAGTTGGGGACTTTATCTCGCCCACTTGCCCTTCAAAATGCAAGGGAAGGATTTACATGGAGTTGTGCTTTATAACCGGAGGCAGTTGGAGCAGGCTACCCGTAGCCAACACGTGACAGACCCACCGAGCTTGGGCAATTTCCCATTGTACACCAACCTCGAATCATGTGACCTATGTCAGTCGAATGAATTTCCTGATGAGAAACGCCAATACAAAAAGAGTCCTCTATCAAAAAATGATTTCAAGTTTACAACACACACACACACCGACCCACTGAGCTCGGGCAATTTCCCATTGTACACCAACCTCGAATCATGTGACCTATGTCAGTCGAATGAATTTCCTGATGAGAAACGCCAATACAAAAAGAGTCCTCTATCAAAAAATGATTTCAAGTTTAAAACTCACTCACTCACTCTAAGACAGAGAGCAGTCAGTCCAGACAAGGGTCACCTTTCCACCCGAGCAACTCTGCCATCTCCCCTCCGGCCATCTGTCCAGGGTGGCTGTGCTGAGGCTCAAGTCTGTGCAGTGCAGCCGGGTCCTTGTCATGAGGCACAAGCTGAACACAGGTGATGCTTCCTTGCTGGTGTTTGCGTCTTGCCCCTCCCCACCTCCTTCTTTGACCTTCATGATACTAATCACAGCACCCCTGACACTCCTACCAGCTTATTTCGCATCAGGAGCAAAAGGAAAACTTAGTGCTAATGCTGAGTTTACAAGCATGTCTTGTTTCTTTTGGAGGTGATGGTGGTGGCTGTATAAACAGAGCGGGTGGAGTCAGAGGGAGAAAATCAAGGAGAATTTCCCAAACTGCTTTACAGCCTGGCCAGTGGGCAGAAACAAGAGGAAGCTGTTACTGCTAGCAGCCTCAGGGCCCTTTCACTCAGTGCTGGAGCAAGAGCCCTCAGGGATTCCCACATCCTCAGCAACGAGACACTCCAGTGCACGGCAAAGCTTGCCACACTCTGTGACCTGCCTACCCACACGGCTTGACCCTGCTGCTTAGAATTCAGGTGGAGCAGTGTTGCAACGGGAAGAAGCGAGCAGAAGAAACCATTCTGGTTGGAGGATCAGTCCTGAACCAGCTGTGGGCTCTGACCTGTGACAAAAGCCGCTCTGAATGGGATGTAAGGTGAAACAATTTACAGAGATCCCCGCCCCCGGCCAACCCCCCAGCAAGCATGGAGTCAGAGACAAATCCAGTGGCAGGCATGGTGGGTAAATGAAGTCCTGAAGTGGGTCCCCACTGGCCCTGAGGGTGGACTAACCGTGGCCCATCTCCGTCTGGGCGTAGGTGCCAATGATCTGCAGTTCTTGGGATGCTTGCAGCCATTTCTCCTGCTGAGCAGTGGTGCCCAGATTCAGTAAGGTGGGAATAAACATGGAGTAATTGAGGCCCACGGGTTCCACAAAATTGACCAATTGTAGTCTACAGGAGAGAAAACAAGAGATCTCAGCCTTGCGCTCACGCCCGCGCATGCGCGGCAGCTGCAGTCCTTCTGGTTAGGGACGGGACCTCTGCTACCAGGAGCTACAGAGCCTGGGCGTTCCCCCAGGCCCTTGCCCCATTCCCCAACCATCTCAGGGTCAAAATGCCCCTAACATTTCTACACTTTGTTCAGGAAGTCAATTCGATGACCCCTATCTTCACCTGAAACGCCCCCTTGTTGGTTACCGACTGTGCTGGTGTTATCTACTGGCGCCACGAGTGAGATTTCGTGAGAGCAGTTTTTGCTTTAGGGTTGGGTTTTGGAACATTTACAGCACCGCTAGCCAAGGCTCGCAGAGAAGAGCAGCTTTAAACGCTCCTTCCCCAGAGAACCTACAAGATGCCCAGGACGGCCCTGAGCCGTTCGACAGAGGCATCACCTCTCTCCAGGCTGCCGGGGTTCAAGGCAGACAAGGAGGCCACGTGCTTATCTCTAAGAGGGTCCCCGCAGGAGTCAAACTGAGGGAGCATCACGTCTCAGTGAAACTCAGACTGGAATTATCTTCTCCTCAAACAGAATCTGTGGAATCCAAGTAAAACGCACACGTGCGCTCATACACACGCACACACACACACACAAACCGTAATGCTTTGCCTATGCTGCACTTACAGGTCCTATAAACC